GCCCGGTACAATGTACCCCAAAGGAATGCATCCGGAATCCATGAATCCATTCCTATCTGTGGGACGCCAAGCCAGGGCATCTTTCCAGCTTGCCGCCGCTGGAGAGACCATGTCTTTCTTGTAGCTTCCTCTACCTCTTTCCTGATTTCGCCTGGGAGATGCACGTCCGCGGGCGGCCATGGGTTGCCCTGGGCCACCTGCCGGCAGCTGCGGGGAGCGCCCGGCTCCGGCCGCGCGATCTTGCAGGCAATGCTGCGCCCTGGCGTCGCTTCTCAGCGCTGCGCCGCTCTCCTGGCTCGGAAATCAGAGCCTGATTCAGGCCTGACAAGGCTCCTGAGGTCCACGCTGTTTCCATCTTTTCCAGTAGGGAGCTGGAATCTAGGGAAGGGACCACGATTGGCTCAGTATCCCCTGGGCTTTCGAGCTGGGAGAGCCGAGAGTTGGCCCCAGGGCTGCCAGCGTGGGTGCCTGGCCTGGGATCACTGCCCACCCTGAGAGAAGGCCTGGAGACTCGGGTGTTGCTTCAAGCTATTACATTACTCAAAGGCCTGAAATGGATGGTTTTCCGTTTATAATATGAATACACGTGCATTTCAGAAAATTTGGGAATCAGAAAAGTGTAAATAAGATAAAGATTACCTGCAAACTCAGAGACACCAACTGTTAACCATTTTGGTGTATATTATTTTTATATGTCTTTTATGTGTATCAATGTATTTATTACAAAATTGAGATTAGAATGTACATAGAATTTTAAAAATAGCATTTCATATGTCCTGAGTGCGGAAGCAGAAAAAAATCTGGGAAAATAGAAAAGCATAAAGGAGAAAATTTAAAAATGACTTTTAGTTTCATTGCGTAGAGATAGCCTTCCTTCCCAATTTACTTTATATTTGTGACAGTCAATCATATATATATATATATATATATATATAAAATCTACTTAGCAAGCATTCAAATCAGAAATTTAAAAAAATTCCCAAGATAAAAATTTATTTATTTTTTTGAGACAGAGTCTTGCTCTGTTGCCCAGGCAGGAGTGCAGTGGTGCAATCTTGGCTCACTGCAACCTCTGCCTCCCAGGTTCAAGCGATTCTCCTGCCTCAGCCTCCCAAGTAGCTGAGACTATAGGCACATGCCACCACGCCCGGCTATTTTTTGTATTTTTAGTAGAGATGGGGTTTCACCGTGTTAGTCAGGATGGTCTTGATTTCCTGACTTCGTGATCCACCCACCTTGGCCTCCCAAAGTGCTGGGATTACAGGCGAGAGCCACTGCACCCGGAGAAAAATTTATTTTTATTCGTTTTTCTGCCTGAAAATTTCTCACTATCTTTGGAAAACATCCTCCAACTTCCCCTTCCTCCAAATCCACCCAGAAGGCTCCATTCATATGGCTTCCATAGGAGTAGCCATGGTCTTCTGTGAACATGAGTGTATACATCTGTGGGATTAGGTTTCAGGAGTGAAACTGCTTAAAAGAGAGTTATGCTTTTATACCTTTTGATATATACTGCCAAACTCTTGTAGAGATATTGTAGCAGTTTGCACTCTTGTCGGCAGTCATGACAGTACCTGTTTCCCAATAGGGTCACCAGCAAAATGTTGTCAGCCTTTTGTCCCAGGGATCACACATCCATCTTAACTAAAATGTACTGGATGTGCATGCACTGTGCCAGGTGCCAGGTTAAGGGCTGCCTATTTGCTAATCCTCACTGCATCCTCACAATAACTCAATGAGGGAAGTAGTACTATCTTCATTTTACAGATGAGAAAACTGAGGGTGAGAGAGGTTAGCCTACCTCAATTTGAAGAACCGAGCCGAATCCAAGCCTGAGAGGTCCACCTCCAAGCATTCGTCCTCCTAACCAGTGGTTCTCAAGTTTGAATGTCCATCAGAATCATTGAGAAGGCTTGTTAAAAGTTGGCTGGGCCCCAGCTTAAGTTTCTGATTTGGTAAGTGTGAGATAGGCCTGAGAATGGGAATTTCTAAGGTCCCAGTGATGCTAATGCTCTGGTCCAGGGATCACACTTTCAGAACCATTGCTTCTATGACTCTAATATGAGGCCCCATCTGGAAATTACCTTTGACCTTGGCTGAGTGCTCATTGGAACTCTACATGTTCTACATACCTCGTATGTGTGTGTATGTGAACGTGAATAGAATCCTTTATGGTCTTTTGAATATCTTGGGTAAGGTTTGTGGCAAACGATTTCACTTCTTCAAGACTTTCCCCACCTTTTGAATGGAGATGATGCTCAGAGGAACCCTTGTGGGAATTACAAGGAAGAATGTATGTAAAGAACACTTTGGAGATTGTGAAATGTTGTTCTAAAGCTGGTTATAATTATTCCTGTTGATGGGGAAGCTATGAGAATTTGTAAGGTATAAATTAAGATTGTGGTTCTAGGCCAGGCGTGGTGGCTCACGCCTGTAATCCCAGCACTTTGGGAGGCCGAGGTGGGCAGATCACGAGGTCAAGAGATCAAGACCATCCTGGCTAACATGGTGAAACCCCATCTCTACTAAAAATATAAAAAATTAGCTGGGCGTGGTGGCATGTGCCTGTAGTCCCAGCTACTCGGGAGGCTGAGGCAGGAGAATCGCTTGAACTTGGGAGGCAGAGGTTGCAGTGAGCCGAGATTGGGCCACTGCACTACAGCCTGGGCAACAGAGTGAGACTCTGTCTCAAAAAAAAAAAAAAAGAAAAAAAAAAAGACGTGGTTCCACCATGGTGTGACACTGGGCAAGTCAGTCCACTTCCCTGAGCATCAAATCTCTTTTCTTTGAAAGTGGGGATATGATGGGTTCCATGAGGATTAAACAAGCCCCTATGTGCATCAGTCCTGGTTTCCTTCTGTTGCAGAAACTTGGAGGCACTCTGTCGTCTGTGAGGAAAGGGTTCATTCCAGAACACACTTGTAATGTGGTTGGTCAGTCATTTCCCCTCTAGCTGTCTTCTCAGAAAATCTCCCCTATTCCCTGTTCTTTCCACATGCTGGTGATGCCCTCTTTGAAACACACAATGGATTCTTTTCCACATTTGGGTAGGTGAGGACACTTTGCAGATTCTAGAAATAGCCTAGGTTGAACCCAATGACCACATGGCCCCTGGCCTAGTGTCAACTGTTCTAGGTGCTGGGGATATGGCAATGGACAAAAGAGAAATCCAAATCCTTGTCTTCGTAAGCTTGTTTGTCAACGAGGACCCCTTCCCATGGTTTCTTGGAATCTGGTGAGGGGTAAATACTCAAAATTCATAGAAAACCACAAGTTGTCCTCAAATTGACCCAGTGAAGCTCACTGACCCCTGGGAACACCAGGAATGTGGCTGTAGCCAGAACTTCTCAAGCTGCGATGTATTCAGGGATCACCTGGGGCTCTTGGCACCTGTCAGATCCTGGCTCCGCAGGTCGGGGGTCTGGTCTAAGAATCTGCATTTCTAACAAGTTTGGATGTCTCTGGTCTACGGACCACACTTTGACTATCTAGGGTTTTAGTGATGCCTTATCTCATCCCACCAAATGTAATCTTATTTTCCTGCAGCTTTTAGTAAAACTCTGAATACACAGAAGAAAAATTAATTTTATTAGCATATTCCAGTTGTCTACATTTTTGGACAAGGCTGTAGGTATGGATGTCAGATCTGGTTTTCAAGTGACCAGGAGCAGCCTGAAGCATGCACTTCACTAACGCAAGCCCACTTGCTCATCTGTGAGTGGAGACTCTTCCGGCTTCTGTCTCATTTATGCAAAACCTTAATTGTTGGACATTTTTAAGGGATAGATTTAAAGTCTCCACTTGACCATTTTAATGTGATATTTTTAGTTAAGATGTGTGCCACCTCTGGCAAAGTTGCCAGGGTTCTGAAATCTTACCTTTAGCAATGACACGCTGGCATTTTGAATGCACACCCACTGTCTCTAGAGCAAATATACAAGAGGCAACCATTCGTTTAATGTTTACTAAGTGCCAGGCAATATGGTGTCTACTGTGCAGGGATTAGCTCATTTAATCTTTATAACAACTCTATGATTCAATGATTTTTCCAAAGAGTCAAAACAAAAACCACAAAACTGAAGGTCACAGAGAATGTCATTGGCCTAAATGCGTATCTTTTATAAAAGGGTGCAATGAAGATTGGACCTAGCTCTGATTTCTAGACCCACGCTCTTGAATATATTTAAATAATTTCAGTGACAACAGAGTTACTGTAGCAAAACAAATGCAGAAACATGGCCAAGGAAGTTAAAATGCTCAGCTCTGTATCAAGTCTTTTATTTTATTTTATTTTTTTTTTTTGAGATGGAGTCTCGCTCTGTCGCCCAGGCTGGAGCGCAGTGGTGCGATCTCAGCTCACTGCAAGCTCCATCTCCCGGGTTCACGCCATTCTCTGGCCTCGGTCTCCCAAGTAGCTGGGGACTACAGGCACCCGCCACCTCGCCCGGCTAATTTTTTGCATTTTTAGTAGAGACGGGATTTCACCATGGTCTTGATCTCCTGACCTTGTGATCCGCCTGCCTCGGCCTCCCAAAATGCTGGGATTACAGGCCTGAGCCACTGCACCTGGCCCATATCAAGTCTTTTATTAAGGCACTCCCCAATCTTAGCTTAATTTAGACTTTGTCAGTAAATGCAGTTCCAGGTTAGAATCAGATCAATAATATAAAAGCACATTTACATCACCGTCATGTGCAGTGGTGTTGGCCATCAGAGTTTAAAGCCAAAATCCATCCCCCATGCCCATCATTAATATTCCTGGAATCACACTGTCGTTGGGGTTTGGGGGGGGGTGAGTGTGCCTCTATGTATATGAGGTTCAAAAAGGTGGAAGACTGGTAGCTCAAAATAGAAATATATTTCTTGTCAAAGGCAAAATACAAAAATATCTTTTCATTAGGAGTTGCTGATGGTACTGCAGATATTAAGTTTGAATGAAAAGTACCATCAATTGTAACATACAAACTGCTTTATCCTTTATGTACAAATAAAAGAGAGAATTTATTTTCATTCTGAGTTTATTTAACATTTCATCCAGTTGAACTGAAATAATACATGGCCTCCAATACTGGCAAGACACTGTGCTAATACTGAAATAAAAACTGCCAGTCAGTAAACACTTACAATCATAATCCTTTATATCATGTTAATAGAAATATTAATAACTACTTAGCTTTACAAGCTTATTGCACTTCATGTGGATTTTTTTCTCCAGAAAGGGTATTTCTAAAAGATCGGCAAGGATTGCCAATCTTGGTTTATTTGTTCTTTGTTATAAACCGTGATTAACATACACAGTTTATAGCTTTATATAAAAGCATTAAGAGTCTGAAGCATCAAAAAACAACGTTTAAAAAGACGCAGCTCCATGTTCATCATCCCTTTTATAATCTTTTTTTTTTTTTTGAGATGGAGTTTTGCTCTGTTGCCCAGGTTGGAGTGCAATGGTGTGATCTCGGTTCACCGCAACCTCCGCCTCCCGGGTTCAAGCGATTCTCCTACCTCAGCCTCCCGAGTAGCTGGGATTACAGGTGTGCGCCACCACGCCTGGCTAATTTTTTGTATTTTTAGAGACAGGGTTTCTCCATGTTGGCCAGGCTGGTCTCAAACTCCTGGCTTCAGGTGATCCAACCGCCTTGGCCTCCCAAAGTGCTGGGATTACAGGGGTGAGCCACCGCGCCTGGCCATTCCTTTTATAACTTTTAACACACATAACTGGAGTGTGTAAAATTTTGGTTAGTTTGTCAGTCTTCTAACCAGTCATGAGCTCTTCACTGGAGGTTAACATTCTGAAATGGAGCTACAGATTACCTGGTGCCGGGAGGACTCTGAGAGGAGCAGGACACCTGGGGCAGGCAGCCGTGCCTTAGCTTCCTACGAAAAGAGTCCCTTCAGCACCTTATGGAGATCTGCCCTGAATTTCAGGCTTTTACCACTTTTTAAAGAGACATGTCGAGGACAACAGAACCTGTCCAAGACCAGAGTGTCACGGGAAAGCCGTTTTGCTTCCAATGGTTTAAGACAAAAAATCTAAATGAGGAGATTCTGGCAGCATCAAGGAAGGCTCCGAGTGGCCCAAAGCTTCAGATCTATTAATCCTTTCAGAGAAAAGAGAAACACAGACACAAGGCACGCCATTTTTTCTTTATGAGGAAATTCAGTCCGGTCACATTGTCAGAAAAAAAATCTGCCAAAACTAAAGAGTTTCTATATATTTTTTCACTTACAATCTCTGAATACAATGATCTACACTTCGTGAAACGTCGCCCCTCAGTATCCGTGGGTGGCTGGTTCCAGGACTGCCCTCCGATACCAATATCTGCGGATGCTCAAGTTCCTGATATAAAATGGCGCAGTATTTGCATATAACCTAGGCACATCCTCCTGTATACTTGATAAATCATCTCTAGATTGCTTATAACACCTAATACAATGTAAGCACTATGTAAATAGTTATTATACTGTATTAGTTTTTAAATTTGTATTATTTTTCATTATTATGTATATTTTGTATCTTTTTAAAAAATATTTCCCATCCAAACTTGACTGAATTCACAGATGTAGAGCTCATGGATACAGAGGGCCGACTGTCTACGACGTTCGACATCTACAGACTTGAAACATAATCTGTTATATTAAATATATTATCTGTGAAATCACTACAGATGATGTAAACAGTGGTACATTTCATTATCTTCCAATGAAGTGGAATGCAACATACAATATTCAAGTAAAATTCACTGTGACTGATTCATACACATTATCACTGTATCTTTCTGAAAGCCAAAGAGATCTATAAGGATGACAAGAAAAGACATGTAGGTAGCTGGAACTGTAGTCTCACTTCTTACCAAAAAAAAAACCAATGAACTAGATTCAGCCCACTCACACAGCATTGGTATTGAATATACTTCCAAAATTTGACATTTGTACATTTCAGTAATTTCATTATTTGATGTAAATAATTGAATATAAAGTCAATAACTGCAAGGTAAGATTAACATCTTTGTAAGAACATAAAACAATAAATTAAAAGTCAACCAAGGCAATCCACCCACAATCTGAATGTATATAATGATCCAGCAGGAAGGCATGTTGCACTGGTCCGTGACTGACTTTTGGAAGGGGTGTGAAGGAGCTTTCACCCTCCAAATCCAAAAACTTCGTTACCTTCATTGGGCCAGCACAGTCCCCACACTAGAAGCAAACTGCCCTTAATATTTCGGGGTAAGTTTTTATACATTAGCCCAGAGCTTTTGTATTTTCCCAGTTCACTGCTGAGATCTCCTTGATTTGGAATGGGAGTGAGATGAAAATTCAATATTTTAAACAGATTCTCTTTTCATTGATTGATAATCAATAGAATATTTACTGACCATACACTGAGCACCTATTCTATGTCTATTAGTACTTTTTTAAAACCCTGGGTGATGGCTGGTATACTGTCTTTGAAAAACAATGACTATAAAAGCTAAAGGAAGGGTATTTCTATAAATCATAACATGATTCAATGTAAGGGAGTATCAGGCACTTGGCCCATGCCAGGTGCTCTGTTAAAGTAGCAGCTTTATTCTAAAAGGCGAATGTGGATCTTTAAAAGGTTTCTGTAACTGGGAGAACCCAGGTTGAACAGGATTTTTCTCACCAGCATGGCTACACCAGCTTTGCAGTGGCAGAATGAGCTGCAGAGGTTTCCTCCTTGCTTTACAGTCCCTTATTAAAGTACACGCGTCGCAATTCAGGATGGCTCTCTTGGATCTTAGCTTGCAACTCGGCCTCCAAGCTTGTCACAGACATGGAACTGGGATAAGGGAGAAATGACAGGGTTATTACACAGGCAGAGGTGAGAATCAGGATCTAGAAAGAGCATGGGGAAGGCACAGGCGTGGAGATCCCAGGACTGGTACAGTGGGTCTTGTTGGAGAAATGCTTCATACGGCTAGAAAACGAGATTATGTTCCTTTCAAAAAATTGTCACTCATAATGGAAGAAATGCATCTTAAGAACCCAACACCCAACTTTTCCCTCTCACGTTATTAAAAGGTGAAATCTCTTATTGCTGGCAAGAGGGTATGGTGATGACACTCTCAGACCCTGCTGGTGCTGGAAAAACCATTTGTGGCAATGCCACTTCCTAAGAAAAACAGTATCAATCATTTGCAATGTTCACCATTGATAAAAAAAGATATATGCAGTCAGTGAAATGTATAACATTAATAATTTGCCTGCATTAATGTGCTTTTGTTTACCATATATAATACATGCTTATTGAAAAAATTTCAGAAAATACTAAAATGTACAAAAAAACCCCAAAACATTTATAATCCCACTGAGAGATAACTGCTGTTAGTCTTTAAGTGCTTAAGAATGTATTTGAAGGTATTATGGGTATATATATATATATTAAAGCTTATTCTTTGAGAGAAACGCATACTCATTAAAGTATAAAGAAAATTGTCCAGAATACCTACCAGAAAAACTGCTAATATTTTGATATGTAATTAGTTTAAAAAAAAATTTGAGGCTGGGCGCAGTGGCTCACACCTGTAATCTCAGAGCTTTGGGAGGCTGAAGCAGGAGGATGTCTTGAGGCCAGCAGTTTGAGACCAGCCTGGGTAACCTAGTGAGACCCAAATTTTTGTATCTATCAAAATAAAAAATAAGACAGGTGTGTTGGTGTATGCCTGTGGCCCCAGCTACTCAGGATGCTGAGATAGGAGGATTGCTTGAGCCCAGAAGTTCAAGGCTGTAGTAAGCTATGACTGTGCCACTGCACTCCAACCTGGGCAAGAGAGTGAGACCCTGTCTCTAAAAAACAATAAAAAAATTGGTATTTAATATAGTTGACACGTGATAGACTGTAAGGTTAAAAAAAAGTCAGGATACAAGTTTATATTTCAAATATGCAAAACAAATTTTAACAATTACGAATATAGAAAAAAGGTAGGAAAAAAAAATCCCACGATGGCTACTGCTTATGTAGTGGGTCTTTGAGTCATTTTACTCAATGACGACATTGATGATGGTAATGATAATGGCTATGACTTATTGCTCATTTGCTGGGCCAGACATTATGCATTTTAATCCTTATGAAAACTCTAGAAGTCCAGTATTATCATAATTGTACAGGTAAGGAAACCTGAGGTGCAACTGAGATGTTGAAGGCAGATCTTTCTTGATCCCGAAGCCCTGCCATGCCGCCTCTTGGTCCTTCTGTTTTGCCATTGATCTCTAAGTATCTGTAATTACTACGAATGTATGTTAAAGGCCCAAGTCTGATCTTGGAATTAAAGTTATTCAAACCTTGGTGGATGGTGGGGAGTGTTCTCTTTTTTATCTTCCAGGAGAGTTTGTTCAAAATTGGAATAATCTGTTTCTTGACAGCTGGAAAAACTTACCTGTAAAACTACCTGTTTCTTGTGTTTTCTTTGCAGGAGGAAGATTAAATGCTGCTTCAGCTTCCTTAATGACTATCTTGCTTATTCTGACTTTTTAATTTTTCAGCTTTGCTAATATTTTTTCCAGAAATTTGTCTATTTTGCCTGTTTTCAAATCTATTGGTATAATGTTGATATTATTTTTAATCACTGCTGAATCTACAGTTATGCCTCTTTTTCATTCATATTGTTTGTGATTTTCTCTCTCTTTTTGTTTTGATTAATCTCACCAGACAATTGTCTATTTTGTTTCTATTTTCTTTTTTCTTTTTTTTTGAGGTGGAGTCTCGCTCTGTCGTGCAGGCTGGAGTGCAGTGGCCAGATCTCAGCTCACTGCAAGCTCCGCCTCCCGGGTTCACCATTCTCCTGCCTCAGCCTCCCGAGTAGCTGGGACTACAGGCGCCTGCCACGTCGCCCGGCTAGTTTTTTGTATTTTTTTAGTAGAGACGGGGTTTCACCATGTCAGCCAGGATGGTCTCGATCTCCTGACGTCGTGATCCGCCCATCTCGGCCTCCCAAAGTGCTGGGATTACAGGCTTGAGTCACCATGCCCGGCCTATTTTGTTTCTATTTTCAAAGAACCAAGTTTTCACTTTGTTGATCCTCTACTCTTTCTGTTATTTATTTCTGATCTTAATCTCCTTCCTTCCTTCTTTTCTGATGTTTATTCTTTTGTGCTTTTTTTTAAGTTAAGTTGGACATTTAGTGCATTGATTTTTATCCATTATTCAAAATATAAACATTTAAAGCTATAAATATCTCTCAAAGCAACACATTTGCTGCTTCTCAAAAATGTTAATAAAGAATGTTTTCATTATCACTTGTTCACATGGGAGATGGGCAACTGTGGCGCATTCATACAATGCACTATGATACAACAATAGCAACGAATGGACTACAGGTACACGCAATAATGTAGATGAATCTTAGTTCTGATACTGAATAAAAAGAACAAGTACTAGAAGACTATATATCTTATGATAGTGTGACACCCTTGTCTAACAAGTTCCTAAGAAGACAAACTAAAGATACATACACAAATATAAAATGCAAGAGCATGAAATTCAGTATAGTGGTTAAATCTGCAGGGGAGGCAGGGACACAGGTTGGGAGGAGTCTATAAGATGTAACTTATTGGAGATAAATATACATATATATATATATATTTTTTTTTTTTTTGAGATGGAATCTCACACTGTTGCCCAGGCTGGAATGCAGTGACGTGATCTTGGCTCACCACAGCCTCCACCTCCTGGGTTCAAGTGATTCTCCTGCCTCATTGGGCACCAAATTTGTGGATGTTCATTATATTACTAGTATAAATAAAATAAAAATAAGGAAAACAGGGTCATGCTTGGATCAATGAGGATACTATATTACAAGCCAAGGAATATTATTAATCCTACTCTGTGAAACCGAGGAGCCAGGGACCTAAAGAAGCCAAACATACAAACAATGTATAAACAATAAAACAGAGTAAGAAGTTATTTTAAAATACAGTAAAACAAAAGACCATTGGTTTCACAAATGTAAAACCACACGCTTTCTGAGGGCCTTGACCTGAGGATACTAGTAGTTACAGAAAGCTTTTCATTTCTACACCTAGAGTTTAAATGAATCTTAAAAAATAAATGTTAGACTATATATATTTTTTTTCTTGTAGCACTCAAAGAAAATCAAGGCCAAAGTAGAAAGTTTCTCTATGGGTTTTCAAATCTAAAATCTTTTCAACCTGAAAATAATTACAGCTACATTTCTTAGGCGTTTCCTTGGTATCAGGCACGCCCCTCGGCATTTTACGTGCTCGAAGTCTAAATTGCTAAATCAAGGTCAGCTGCTGAACACCAGTGTTCATAAGCCCACATACTATAGACATGGACATTCTCAGGTTGAGCCCCAAGACTCTGGGGTTTGTGCAGTTAAACAGGTATCATTATCCCACTGTAGAGATGAGGAAATTCATCTGAATCAGGCTCCCAGAGCAAGTTCTGAAGGTCCTGCCCTCTTCACGGGGGGCTCCTCAGCAGGCCCAAGGTGATAAAGGGCTCCTGTCCATGAGGTTTAAATGTCTATTCAAAAACAGGGGGGTCGGAGACAGAGTGGGAGAGCAGATACAAGGTGGAGTTCTCCATCAGGTAGAGGGATGTGACCGCATTAGTTCTAGAACAGACACTTCATCCAAAACCGACTCCGCAAGACTAGGGGATTAAAGACCGTATGTTCGGGACCTACCGGCCCACGAAGGAAAGGGTATTACCATGGCAAGGGGCCTGATAACACAGAAAACGACAGACAACAAAATGCCGCCGCTTTGCATGTTGGTGTCAGGTCAAGAGCAGGCTGGAGACCTGATGTCGAAAATGCCAGTTAGTCCTGTTCTCACATCACAGGCAGGATTCAAGGGCAGCTTGTGATGAAAGGCATGCACGAGAAAGCTTTTAAGGCAAAAAACTAAGTGGGAAGAAGGGAAGCAAATATACCAACCACCTAAGCTAAGTGCATATAATTGCTGTCCCTGGGGGCGGAACTTACATCCTATCATATCTGTATTACAGATGCATTTGCCAATGGATTGGACCATATTTTAAATTTTCATAAAAGCAAATTTGCACCAGAGTTAATCTGATTCTTATAAAAGAATAAAGTGTTTTAAAATTTAATGGAAGGGGGTAGAAAAGAACTGGGTACATCTGAAATTAGGCAGATGTGGGTTTGATTTCTGCCTCCATCCCTTCCTTTTAGAGACCCTGGCTTCAGTATCTTTTGAGTCTCAACTTCCCTACCAATGAAATGGAATAATGGCACCTGCACCTTCCATTGGTTTTTAGGATTAAAACTCATGATTATTCTGAAGAATAACAAATACATACCTTTTCTGAGGAAACAGGGCACAACACAGGGGTGTAGCAAACACCAAACTTAAAAAAAAATACAAAAAAAGGTCAGACCATTTTAAATGGTTAACTTTTCAGATTATTTTTCTATTTTACAACAATCCCTTCTTTCTTCAGAGCATTATGTTCTGTGTTGTCTAACAAAAATAAGTCCTGTTTGTGTAAGTTTTATTACCTAGGATTGCCAAAATAATGGAAAAGTCACAGAGATAAAACGATTTAAAAAAGAATCACACGAATAGCCCCCATGTTGTAGGTTCCTCTAAAGACAGTTTACTTCTATTTAATTATCTGGGGCCATGCATTCCAGACGTTCTGAGATGGCTCATTTTCAAAATTTGTATCCCATATTACCCAGTCACCTTTCATACGCTGTGTATTTATATTTTAAAAAGAAATTAATTATGTAAAAGTAATTTCTACTCACCAGAAGCCAACTAACCCAACTTGAATGGGTGCGTTCATCCACGGGAACCTCTGCGTTGAGAAATAAATGACTTTGAATACTTTTCATACAGGGTCTTAGAGACAATTTCTTGTGATTAACTGGAAGGAACCTCACCATATTTCAAGATCCAGATAGAAGGTGGTTAGTGAAATTTGGGGGAAACGCTGCAACAACGGTGTTAGCCTAACTTCCTGTAGCCTTCTTTGATCTGTAAATCAGCACACACGCAAAGATCAAGTGGCTTCTGTTTTTTCCCACATCCCCCCATTTAATCTGAGCACTGCCTGGGTATATAGTGGAGGTGGGGAGATAGCTGTCATTTAATTGTAACGTATCCCCTGGCTGAGGAGATAGGATAGCCTGGTGCCAAGGTCTCAAGTCTCTGCCCTTCCGGTTGGTTCCTGACTGTGGGGAAGCACAGGCAGAGTCTAGCCTCTCCAAGCTTCCGTTTCCTTGTTATGGTGCAAAATGAACATCATTAACAGCTTCCTAAAAGTATGTGGAGGAAGATGCCAGATCACATTCATGAAGCACCTAGTATGGTGGCTGGAATATACCAGAAACCCAACAAATGCTCACCATCCCTCACCCTCCTTTGCACCTCGTCTTTTTGGTTTTAGTTGCTGTCAGTATGGTTAAAACTATTTCTAGCATAAAACATTTTTGCTAGTCACACTTTTTTTTTTTTTTTAATGGAAATGAACAAGTTGGTTGGTCTTTTGGAGAATAAATGCTGTTAGATTTTTAGTTTTAAAAAAGGAGTGGTACTTCAATACACAATATAAAGAGTGATGAGATATATGGTTATATAAATAGGGCCACAGAAATCACTGCAACCAAGGTGGTGTGAGCTGGTTGTAATGAAATCAGCCAGCTTAGTTAGGAGTCAACACAAGCTGTTAGAAGACAACGTGCATGGGAGGCGTACCCTGGTCCCCAAAGAGACTCCTCTGGAGAAAAGGTTCATCAGGGTTGGTGTAAGAGGGGAAAGGGATGGATTAGAGAGGAAGGGAGAAGCATCGGCAAGGAAACTGACCCCTAGAGGTTACACAGAGGGGTCTCTCTCCTCAAAAGACAGAATGAGGCCGGGCGCGGTGGCTCAAGCCTGTAATCCCAGCACTTTGGGAGGCCGAGACGGGCGGATCACGAGGTCAGGAGATCGAGACCATCCTGGCTAACACGGTGAAACCCCGTCTCCACTAAAAAAAATACAAAAAAACTAGCCGGGCGAGGTGGCGGGCGCCTGTAGTCCCAGCTACTCGGGAGGCTGAGGCAGGAGAATGGCGTAAACCCGGGAGATGGAGCTTGCAGTGAGCTGAGATCTGGCCACTGCACTCCAGCCTGGGTGACAGAGTAAGACTCCATCTCAAAAAAAAAAAAAAAAAAAAAAAAGACAGAATGAAAAGGAAAACACTGTATCTTTGGCAACCGTCTCTGTTTGATGGTGAAGGATTGTCATAAGGAGATGCTAAATACTCCCCTAGCACTTCCTATCCAGGTGACATCTGGGCTGGGACAGACTTGGTGATGGGAGGGTAGGCATAGTACTGAGCGAGAGCCTGTTCATGGATGAACGTGAACCTGTGAGAGCAGCCACCTCATTTTAAGTAGACTCTGGTCTGCAGCAAACTGGGCTAACCTGTTAGCCAAAAGAGAGCAGCTGTGTGCCACCTTGGAGGCAGGCATGTGCAAACTACGTGCTGACTGTGGCTCACGCAGAGGGTTTTGATGGAAAGGCTCCTCGCACAGACAAGGCTCCTAGACAATTACAGTATCCTGCCAAAACCCAACCTGATACCATGTCTTCTTCCAGCTCCTACCCCAGCATCCCGTCCTGCCTTATTCATCCCTTCCTCTCCATCAGAAAGTCAGATACAACATTCGTCAGCTGGGATGCTGGTGTTTCACTAGATACTCACAAAATGTCTCAAGGTAGAGACATATCATACCTAACACAACTGTGCAAACAGAGGATGTTTAGATGAAAAGTCTAAATGAGTTAAAGAGAGTAATTATATGTTTTTTTTATATATATATATATATATATTTTTTTTTTTTTTTTCAATGAAGTAAAAAGCTCAAAGTTAGGCTGGGTGCGGTGGCTCATGCCTGTAATCCCAGCACTTTGGGAGGCTGAGGCAGGCAGATCACGAGGTCCAGAGATCGAGACCATCCTGGCTAACATGGTGAAACCCCGTCTCTACTAAAAATGCAAAAAATTAGCCAGGCGCAGTGGTGGGTGCCTGTAGTCCCAGCTACTTGGGAGGCTGAGGCAGGAGAATCTCTTGAACCCGGGAGGTGGAGGTTGCAGTGAACCGAGATCGTGCCACCACACTCCAGCCTGGTGACAAAGCAAGACTCAGTCACACACACACACACACACGGCAAAAAAGAAAAACCCTTAAAAGTTAATGACTCTAAATTCTCTCTCCCTCCATGATCTTTTTCTAATAGCTTTATTGACATACGACTGCACATATTTGAAGTGTGTAAGTTCTGACATCTATATGCAGCTGTGAAGCCATAAGCACAATCAAAATAATGAAAATATTCACCACCCCGAATGTTTTTCTTGCTCCTGTACCCTTTGCAGTTCCTCCCTCTTCCATAAACCCTGCACCCCATTATATGGCAACCTCTCATCTTTCTGTCACTGGATTTAGTTTACATTTTCTAGGACTCGATATACAGTATCTATTCTTTTGTGTAATTACTTTGAGACCCCTTCATGTTGTGTGTAGCACTAGTTTGTTACTTTTTATTGCTGAGTTAAGTGTTCCCTTGTATTCACAAGGTGTTTATCCATTTTCCTTTTGTTGAGCAATTTGAGCTGTTTCTAGTTTTTGGCTACCACAAATAAAGTTGCTATGAACATTTGTCTTTCATGGACATGTGCTTCTATTTTTCCTAGGTAAAGAAGTAGGAAGGAAATGGTTGGATCACAGGGCAGCATCTGTTTAACTTTGTAAGAAACCGCCTCAGTATTTTCTCACGTGACTGTACCGCATTAATTCTCACCAGCACTGGGGAAGGTTTCAGTTCTTCCATTTCCTCACCAACACTTGTTATGATTAATCTTTTTAGTTTTTGACATTCTATTAAGCGTTGAGTGGCAGCTCATGTGGTTTTAATTTAGATTTCCCAATGACTAAAGAGACTAAGCATTTTTTAGGTGCTTGAGAACTGTATGTATTTGGTAAGGTGTCTGTTCAAACCTTCTGCCCAGCTTAAGGACTGAGGATCCTTTATGTATTCTGGACACAAGTCCTTTATCACATACATGCCTTGTAAACATTTTTTCCCATGCCATTTCTTCTCTTTTCATTTTCTGTGTAGTTTTAAGAACAGAATTTTAAAAATCCGATGAAGTCTAATTCATCAATTTTTCTTTCATGGGCTGTGCTTTTTGTGTTGAGTCTAATAAGTCTTTGCCTAGCCCTAGTGTTCTATTGTATTTTCTTCTAGAAGTTTTATAGTTGTAGACTTTTACATTTAGATTCTATGAACCACTGAGAGTTAATTTTTATATATGATATAGTCAATTCCTTACACATTGCCTACATCCCAGCCAACCTCACCATCCACAAATCTCCAATAATTCCTGCTCTGTGTACTTGCTGGGCTTCTGCAGAGCGTGTGGCCCTCACCCCGTCCTCTTCAAAGAAGTCTCTGCTCACCTACACCAGTTGGGTAAGATACCTCCTATGCGCTCCCTCTGTGCCCCAAACTTTAAACACTGTGTATTTTCACAATCTGTCTTGCGCCTCTTCCCTATACCATGCTACATGCTCCCTGAGAGCAGGAGTCACATCCTCTTTCTGGGACTCTAGCGTCTACCACATCGCTTGGCATAAACAAGCATTCAGCAAACGGCTGCTGAAAAAAAAACATGAATGAACAAATAAATGTTACATTCCCATTCAACTAGCAGTCCTGAAAGCCTACTGAGTAGACACAGCAGTCCACGTTTATAAAAGGGAATATAAAAGAATTAGAACTTAAGGAGTAAGAACTAGCATAGGACCCAAACCATATCAATTTCGTTCCCAATGAACGTGCCATTAAGAATGACCCAAGTGTAAAGAGACAACGGAACTATTCTTCAAGAACACTGTTCATAGAAGCACCAGATTTTAGGCAGCGAACTTTTTGGTTTACTGCAAAAATTTCCGTGAGTCACCTGCCTACAGCTGATGCCTTTTTTCCCAGCTCTCCACTTGGGGAGAGATAAGGCGTGGGGGGATGGATGAGTCATACTGAATGCTCCCCAAGCATCATCGTTTAAAAAAGCCCAGAATGTTCAATTAGTTTCTTGTTTGCGGAGGAGTCTGGTCATTTCTAAGGTAAAAGCCCAGATGAGTACATCCTTGCAGAGGAGGCACACCTGGCCCTGGGGCAGTGGGAACAAGCGGAAGGCCAACCAAGGTGAACACCACCGCATGGGTATCATGAGCTGCCGAGGAAGTGATCTCTTCAGCCTTTGCGGAAGGGGCACGGTGAAGCCTGCCTTCACAATAGAATCTGAAAGTGTTTTGAACATGGAAAAGTAGGGATTTTAATATAAGCTGCCTCTGTGTCATAAACAATGACTGTACTATCATTTCTGTCCTATGGTCCTCTCTGCATGGGTGAAATGCAACACTGACGTATACCAGCAACCATGAACTTGGGGAGTGGTAGGTGTGCATGGGTACCTTAACAGTATTTAGCCATTAGTTTTTCAGAGCAATTATCTCTCACTGAGGTCTGAAGGACTACAGCTACAACTAGGCCCCCTTGTAGCCACTGAGGTGCCAGGACTGAGCCATGAGCTGTCCTGATCATCTCTCTGGACCTTCACGTGGGGTTCTGAAACCAGTGGGTCCTTCCATGTGGGGAGTGGGGCAGGTAGGGGGCTTCGGTGGGAAGAGTAGGCGAGGCGACACACCTCCAAATGATGATCAAAGGGTACGATATCAAGCAAAGCTAAAAAAAACCACAACTTAAGATGAAAGTGGGGAGAACACAACAGTTATTCATCTTATCATTGTGTAACAGCCTGGAACAATGCGGCAATGGTGGGCTAAGATGGGGCTAACTGCTTTTATCATTTGCCAGCTCCTTCGCATGAGAAAATGCCAGGAAAATATCTACAGAAATTTCCATCTGTCACAGCAAGAAACTTATGCAACATGCCCAACTGTCTTCTGTTCAGTGTTTGTCACTGAGATGAGAGGAACTGTGGTAACTGTTCCCAAACTGAGACCCCATGAAGCTGCTACTCTGAATGATTTTTTCATTCCTGATAGGATGACTACTGACTTGTACACATATCATTCCAAATTCACATCATCCCTTCATTTTTACCCAGCCAGGCATCCAATAGATGACTGTGTGTGTAACTGAGTTAAAACCTCTCAAAAGTAGCAGTCTTTATTTACAAAAAGCTTTTTCAAATATCTGAGATTAGAAATCAAATCTTCCTGGGAACATCTTTTTATTTACATAAGTGCCCAGGAGAAAGTGGCCTTCAAATTCTATACTGTTTAGGTAAGAAATACTCTGTACAGTTTGAAATCTAAAAAGAAATAAAAAGGGTTGAGAAAATGACAAAAGAACTACAGCTTACCTTCAAAAAGGCTTTCTTTTCCAAAGTGTTCATAATGAATGGAGGGATGGCTGCAAATAAAGACAGATCCACTTAAATCTTTATTTAATGTCAATTTTCAGCTTACATTTTTTTTTTCAACCATTTAACAGAAAACTTCTGTCACTTTTAGGCTGTTTCCACTGTCACAGTAAAAACAGTTTGTAGTAATTCTTTAAATTATTACATTTGAATTCATTAAATTGAAAACTGTTCCTGTTTTCTAAATTTTTGAAAAGTAATATCACATCCTCTGCCAGCCAGATCATTTTATAATCTTGAAAATAACTTTACTTTTAGGTTTAAATAGGCAAAAATAAAAATATCAAGAACTTTTTCTTCCAGTATTAATAAAACAAAGTGCACAAGGCAGGGAGGATGGTGTAAAGAATCCTGCCTTGGAGTCAGGCAGAAACTGCTTCCGTACAGACTAGACCAGGGGTCCCCAATCCCTGGGCCATGGACTGGTTTGGATCTGTGGCCTGTTAGGAACTGGGCCGCACAGCAGGAGGAGGGCAGCGGGCAAGTGAATGAAGCTTTAGCTGTATTTATAGCCGCTCCCCATTGCTTGCATTATGCTTGCGCTCTGCCTCCTGTCAGATCAGCGACCGCATTACATTCTCACAGGAGCCCGAACTCCACTGAGAACTGCACATCCAAGGGATCTAGGTTGCCCGCTCCTTATGAGAATCCAGTGCCTGATGATCTGTCACTGTCCCTCATCACCCCCAGATGGGACTGTCTAGCTGCAGGAAAACAAGCTCAGGGCTCCCACTGATTCGACATGATGGTCAGTTGTGTCATTATTTCATTATATATTACAATGTAATAATAATAGAACTAAAGTGCACAATAAATTTAATGTGCTTGAATCATCCTGAAACCATCCTCCTGACTCCCGGTCCATGAAAAAATTGTCTTCCATGAAATGGGTCCCTGGTGCTAAAAAGGTTTGGGACCGCTGGGCTAGACCACTTGCTAGCTGGGTGACCCTGGAGAAGTTACCTAACTCCTCTGAACTTCAGTTTTCTGTTTTCTTTTTCTATAAAATGGGGGAAATTGGATACAATAATGCATGTAAAACACTGGGTATGTGGTGGACAGCATTTGTTCATTTGCTGACAACTTTTATCAGACTAAACTGTCATATCCACTACTTCAATATGTCAATTATTCTTATAAATTGCACTGGGACAGAAAGATTGTATTTCTCCTCTGGGGACTAAATAGTGTTTAAAATAGCCAAATCACTAGAAATGGATTTGATGGGCTGGGCTGGCTGAACTCTTAAGAGGAGTGAGGCAATTCAAAACAGAAAAGACCACAATCAAAAGCAAACCCAGGGCCGGACATAGTGGTTCACAGCTGTAAACCCAGCATTTTGGGAGGCCAGGCTGGGCGGATCATTTGAGCCCAGGAGTTCTAGACCAGTTGGGCAATATGACAAAACCCTGTTTCTACAAAATATATAAAAATGAGGTGGGTGTGGTGGCACATGCCTGTAAGTCCCAGCTACTTGGGAGGCTGAGGTAGGAGGATCACCTGAGCCCAGGGAAGTTGAGGCTGCAGTAAGCCATGATCACAGCACTGCACTCCAGCCTGAGGGACAGGGCAATGCCCTGTCTCAAAAACAACAACAACAACAACAACAACAACAACAACAAAACAAACCCAGGGCAGAAGCTGGAGCTGCAACCTCGATTTCAGCAAATCTGTAAATCAGGGCTCAGCAGGCACACCGGGGTGGGTTCCATAGCCTCCTCTTAGGTTAGTGACAAACGTGCTGGTCCCTGGACTCAGGGGATGCTTTGCCCATGTTTCAGGACTGTGGCTATGCAGCCACCCCTACAGAACACATTAGCCTCAGACAGGGCACCAAGGCACTCCTGTGTGAAATCAGATAATAGCAGTTTTCCCCCAATTTGCCGGAATGTGAATAGAAGGTTCCTCAAAGTTTTCCTTCATGCACTTTTCTTCAACTTTTGTTGCCTGCTCTGCCTGCCTGCTAACGAGCAGTCACAGTGACAAAAGGAATTTAAAAACCTCCAGAAAGTATTAATGGATGACTTGACAGCAGCTGGTGAAGTATACTTCATTGGCGAGCTTCATTTTAATTGCCAAGTGTTGTTTGCATTCAGTTTAGATGATGAAAATGAAACATACTAATTTCTGTTTGTTTTCTGTGAAGAGCACTCTAACTCCCAGGCCCTCTGATTTCTCAGTCTGAGAACTTTCTTTAGGCCCCAGTCTGAAGATAGCTTTAAGCAGCCTTAGGGTGGACTAGAGAATCTCAGCAGAACTAAATACAATGTAGAGTTTCTGTTTCTGGTCATGCTGATCCCAGCCCCTATAGGGAAAACTGACTAGTTGCTTGGCACACAATTTATCAATAGCTGCTCTAACCATTCCAATTTGCTCCATCAATTCCTTCTGGTCAAATTTCCGCTGTATGGCCCTGGTCCAGCCCATCACTGCCTCTTGCCTGGATTACCGAGGCAGCCTCCTGGACAGCCTCCACTGAACATCCTCGTTCCCCTTCAGCCGATTCTCAATCCACCACCCAGAGTCACACAAATAAAACCTAAGTCAGACTGTGCTGCTCCTGTATCCAAAACCCTGCCTGGCTTCTTACCTCTCAGACTAAATCCCAAGTGTGAAATGCCAGGGCCGCCATCCATGCTCTGCTGTCTGTGGCCTCCTGACTACCTTCCTACTGCTCCCCACCCCTCCCACTGTGCCCTAGCTGCACCTGTACCCATAATGCCTGCAACACACCAGGCAAACTCCTGCCTGTGGTTCCCTCTGCCAGAATATTCATCCCCGATACCCACTTGGCTCACTCCCACACCTCCACCTAGTGCTCTTCCCGGCTGCCCTACCTCCACCCCCACATGCCCTAGCCCCCTACCCCCTTAGCCCTCATCACCACTGCACATACTATAACTTTATTTACTTGTTTATTTTCTGCCACCCCCACGGGAAGGCGATTTCCGCTAAGAGGCATGACATTTGTCTTTGTTTTCTGGTTCACAGATCTGTGAACGCTTGTTCAACCTGTACTGGAATAAATGACAAAGTCCTGCTAACCCATGCCAGGGGCTGCCATGAGAATCCTGGACACGACGACTTGTGTGATGGCTTGTTTCGCAGCGTTCGCTGACTCCCCCAAGCGGTTCCCATTTTCATCTGTGACAGGAATGCCAACTTTGAGTTCCCTGCAGAGCAAAACACATACAGAGAGTTCCACCAATGCCTTCAACAAATGTCCCGGAACAGTACGATGTTGGGAAAGATCAAGCCTCTACCTAATTAAAATACCCACTCAAGTGTCATTTTTTGGTACTGACACATCTTTTTTTTTTTTTTTGAGACAGAGTCTCACTCTGTTGCCCAGGCTGGAGTGTAGTGGTGCTATCTCTGTTCACTGCAACCTCCGCCTCCCAGGTTCAAAGCGATTCTCCTGCCTCCTCCCGAGTAGCTAGAATTATAGGCGTGCGCCAGTGTGCTGGCTAATTTTTGTATTTTTAGTAGAGACGGGGTTTTGCCATGTTGGCTGGGCTGGTCCTGAATTCCTGACCTCAGGTGATCCACTTGCCTCGGCCTCCCAAAGTGCTGAGATTACAGGCGTGAGCCACTGCGCCTGGCAGACACATCTATTTTTAAATACCATGGACAAGTTTAATCCTCCTTTGATAGAAATAAAACTAAAACAACCTAGTAAACTTTTAAAACCTTTTTCAGTAACAATACGATTCGAAGGGTGGATATGCTAACTTCAATCTATGCTCATGTGCAAATTTGAGCAACTTTCCAAATGAGAAACAGACATAACACACCACATTATTAAGTCAACAAACTTAGTATGCTGACATGGAAAGTCACTCGCACATGGCCCTATTGTATATTTATTAACTACATTTACTAACACTAAGTATAACTTCTACGGTTACCCCTGTTTTTTGTTATCCATTCCAAAATGCTTTTGTTGTCCTTTCTTCTCCTTTAATTTTTGCCAGTTCTAAAACAATACTTCCAAAGATACAGAATAATGTTACTTTAAGCTCCAAAAGAAAATTCTGGAGGGAAAAAAAGGAATCTAGTTTAGAGAATAAACTTTCTTTGGATAGACTTTGTCTAACCCAAGCACAACTCAATGTAAGCTTGAGATACATCTTTTAAACTTTTTATTATACAGACACAAAAAGACTATTCCAGCTCAGCCCCCTCCCCGCACTCCTCAGTCTGCTTCAATAATCAGTAACTCATGGCAAAGCTTGTTTTATCAACACATCCATCCTCATCCCCAACCCCAGATTATTGTGAAGGAAATCCAAGATCTCACATAATTTCACCTATACATATTAAAACGAATATTTTAAAGTTTCAACAAAGCTAATTATTACAAGAGTCTCCCCCGTCAAGCACACGTCCCTACTGAGAGTGCATATTCGTCTTACCTTTGCCTCATTAATGGAATATTAATGCAATTAGCAGCAGCTACAGCAGCAAAGGGAACAAAACGTCCTATCAGTGGTGAGACATGCTGCAGAGGAGAAAATTTCAAAAGTTTTATCTTATTTTTCCTGTACTAGTGCATGGAAGTAACTTATTTCTTCTTGAAAACTCTGAAAAATGCAGAGTCCTATTTGCATAGAAACTCAGGCCAAGAATACTTTCAAAATTTTCCTGGCAGTATTTGTATGTTTCCCACACGGGTGTGCTGGGACCGTGCAAGCTTCTAAGGCATTGTAGCTAAGTGTGGTTGCAGGAGGATGGGCTTTGGAGTGCCGAGAGAGAGATGCTCTCACCTCTCTTCAGAGCTGTGGCCTGCGGCACACTGCCCACTACAATGCCTCTGGAGGGCTGTCAGGATGGTGAACATTTAGCACTTTGTACACAGAGCCAGGCACAGACCACAGTCCTGGTAGGTGTTATCGGTGACAACTCTTCCCAAAGTTATTGGAAAATATAACTAAAATACGCAGTTGAAGATAAGGACTATAACAAGAAAGCCATATGACTTGAACTATTTTAAGAAATAATAGAGGGATTTAGAGCCAGACAGATGATAACAAATTAAGCAGTTTTATTATGGAAATAAAAATCTGAGTACCTTGGTCAATGCGTTGAGTCCTAGAGCTGTTGCTACGGCACCAGTTGTTGCAGAAACGTAAGCTGTTCCCAACTCACTGAAAAGAAAAAAGGATATCGTGTAGACAACGAGGGCATGTCAGGAAACTGGTGCAACATTATTTGAAGAAATAAAAGGGAAATATAAAAGAGAATGATTCAGAATGAAGAGTCTACAAAACAACATTATCACTCCACAAATAGGGGAATCTAGAGAAAAAGCAAGCAGACCCGTAAAAAATGGGATTCTTCACACGTATCTTGACTGTAACTCCAAAAGCAGACACGCATTCTTTGAGGTGAGGTGGTTAAAATACATAAATAAATAAACATACAGACTTTGTATTCATGGAAAGGAGGGGAGCTGTGTGCTGCGTGTAGGAAGCTATGAATACAGGGGAATGCATATTGGGCTAAATGTGTGGAGCATATTTGTTTAAAATACTTCTCAAAATATTAATATACACACTGAAAGCAAAAACGAAGTGCTGCCATTTAAAAAATGATATCTTAACTGTATAAAAATACTAAGTCTTATCGTCCAAAAACTATAAAGCCCAAGCAATTCTCCCTTAAAAGAAACTTTAATTGCGATAAACACCACTGGGTTACAGAGTTCAAGATCCTTTGTTCCATATGACAACAGTAGAAGAATACGGGTTGTCAAAAGCAATTTTAAGTGATAAAAAAGAGAAGCACTTTTCTTTCAAGTATAATACAATTACGCTAACTAACATTTGTGGTTAACTAATCTTGTTAGCCTATTTTTCTTTTTAACAGGTGACAAAAAATTAAACTCATTGCTTTCTTTTGGGCTCCACAGATGAGCTATTTTAAAAACATATCAGATACAAAGGTCACACCGCCATGGTCTCCTCTTGATTTCTGCAGAGACCACACTTTGTCGCCTCTACTTTTAACGTTGGTGTCTGTCGACTCAGGCAGGGTAGATGGGGGAACAGCCTGTCACTTATCAGAGGCCAGGCTGGTGCTGCCTGCTGTGTGTTCTATAGGGCCATGAGCTTCAGGGTGAGAAGGAGGTATCATCCTATCAGTACCTCCAAAGCCATGAGTAACGTCTGAGAAGGCAGGCTGGAAGAAGACAGTTTTCTTGATAGAGAGAGAGAAAAAGAAACACTTGACTTTTTTGAAAAAAAGCTACAAAAGAAGATGCTACATAATATTCGGAACAATATAAAAATGTGTACACATACGCTTTTTTAAATAGGAGAGTATCACCACTTAATAAAATGAAGGTTGGAGAACTGCAGAGAGCGGTCAAATCTCATAGCCTTACTTGACAGTGAGGGGTGCGTCTCCACTTCTGTTGGTGTAATTGACGACGGCATTGAAGGACTGGTTAATCCACTGCCAGAACAGCACAGCCGGCGTAGTCCTAAAACAGAGCCATCCGTCACATACCCACCATCACCGGGACCACTGTCAGAACAGCACAGCCGGCGTAGTCCTAAAACAGAGCCATCCATCACATACCTACCATCACCGGGACCCAGCCGCGGCACAGAACAGAAAATGTGGACACCAGTAACCACAGAGGAGATGTACTGGGGAAGGGAGAAAGCCACAAGGCCACAGGCTTAGGACCTGTATGCTGGGCAAGCTTTTATCCTCTGGGATCATCTATGTCCTCGTTCTGTAGATATAGACAACACCAAGCTCAGAGGGTTACCATGAGGATGAAGTAAGATAAAAGTTGTAGAGAGCCTGGTACAGAATAGACATTCAATAAATGCCAGATCCCTTCTTTTGAGGAAAAAAGACACAATGTGTAGGCTAAGCAGTCCTGGGCCCTCCTAACAGCATGAGGAGTGCTATATGTCTATGTCTACACATACACCTTTAGTGTGCCTATATCTACAGTCATGCCTATACCTATATGTATATGAATGGAGTTAAAGGAGAATCTGCTTGCAGACTCTTTATTTTCTTTCTCCATTTCATTCTGTTTTGGGGCTAAGATTTAGAAAAAAAAATTCGACCTCCTTTTGAACAACTAAGAAGATGCTATTTAGCAGAGGGGAAAGGTTAAAAAAAAAAGACAGTCCCAGAGTAACAACATTCAAACACAATGGAACTAAAAGTGAAATGACTTTTTTCTTTTTACATTAATAATGCCCCGTTTTTTGTTTTTTATTGTCTTCAATTTTATTTTTTATTGTATAAACTAAAGGAGTTCAACATGATGTTTCGATTCATAAGTAAATTACGGAATGAGTTAACGGCATGAGTTAAGCAAGCTAATTACCTTGTTTGCCACTTCATATACTTACGCAATAACACTTATTTCAACAAAATTATTTACATGCAAAAATAGACTTTGGGCTTCTGTAATGGTAAACAAACTGTTGCTACATATTCGTAACGTACCTGTAAAACGTCATCATGCAACCTGTGATGGTCATGTTCATGGGAACCTGGGCTGACATTCTTCCTATCAAAATCATCTTCTCCCCAGTGTCAGGATGAAAAGCTGAATCATAGATGTACTTTGCTCTCCACAATTCATTTTCTGTAAGACCAGGAGGAACAATTCCTTGCCTAAGAAAATAACAAATAATATGGCAATTGCTCATTTCAAGTATCTCCCCAGTACCCTAGAGACAAGTGGCTACAAGATTTTAAAAGTTTATGCTCTGGCAGGGCACGGTGGCTCACGCCTGTAATCCCAGCACTCTGGGAGGCTGAGGCAGGCAGATCACGAGGTCAAGAGATTGAGACCATCCTGGCCAACATGGTGAAACCCTGTCTCCACTATAAATACAAAAATTAGTGGGGTGTGGTGGCACCCGCCTGTAATCCCAGCTACTCGGGAGGCTGAGGCAGGAGAATTGCTTGAATCTGGGAGGTGGATGTTGCAGTAAGCTGAGATTGCACCATTGCACTCCAGCCTGGTGACAGAGTGAGACTCTGACTCATAAAAAAAAAAAAAAGTTTATGCTCACCTAAAACACTTGTGCCTAGATGGAGTGACAAATTTGTTACATATAGTCAGCAAAAATTTCAAAACATGCAGGACAATAAGTACTTAAAATGAACATTTCAGGCGGGGCGTGGTGGCTTATGCCTGTAATCTCAGCACTTTGGGAGGCTGAGGCAGGAGGATTACTTGAGCCCAGGAATTCAAAACCAGCCTGAGCAACATGGTGAGACTCTGTCTCTACAAAAAAATAAAAATCATACTACTGTACTCCAGCCTAGGCAGAGCAAGACCCTCTCAAAAAAAAAAAAATTCAAACCTGTTATCTCAAATTACCTGTAGTTTGGAAAAGCCAGAAAAGAAATTATATATAGGGAACAGGAGAGCATTCAACTTTGAAATACTCTTTAAGTGACATATTTTATAATGTATTTTGAATTTGTAAACTCTAAAATATTTTAACCAATTAGACAAAAGTTATGGTAATTAAGGACATTCATTTTTATACCTATAGAATGAAAAGCTAGTTCAGGAAGAAATTTTTTTTTTTTTTTTCCTGAGACGGGGTCTCGCTCTGTCGCCCAGGCTGGAGTGCAGCAGCCAGATCTCAGCTCACTGCAAGCTCCGCCTCCCGGTTTATGCCATTCTCCTGCCTCAGCCTCCCGAGTAGCTGGGACTACAGGCGCCCACCACCTCACCCGGCTAGTTTTTTTTTGTATTTTTTAGTAAAGATGGGGTTTCACCGTGTTAGCCAGGATGGTCTCAATCTCCTGACCTCATGATCCACCTGTCTCGGCCTCCCAAAGTGCTGGGATTACAGGCGTGAGCCACCGTGCCCCGCCTTTTTTTTTTTTTTTTAAAAAAGACAGGGTCTCACTCTGTCACCCAGGCTGAAGTGCAATGACATGATCTTGGCTCACCGCAGCCTTGAACTCCTGGGCTCAAATGATCCTCCCACCTCAGTTTCCTGAGTAGCTGGGACCATAGGCATGCACCACCATGCCTGCTAATTTTTTTGCATTTTTCGTAGACACGGGATTTCACCATGTTGCCCAGGCTGGTTTTGAACTCTTGGGTTTAAGCGATCTGCCTGCCATGGCCTCTAAAGTGCTGGATTACAGGCGTGAGCCACCATGTCCAGCCTCAGAAGACTCTTGACGAAAAAAAAAAAAAAATCGTTAGGTACATCATTCTTTATTTCCTTCCCTTTATCAAAAAAACACATATTCATTGTCAAAAATTTAGAAAATACAGGAATCTATTAGAGCACTTAAAATCACTGAAGTCTTCACCTACTCATCTCCAGTGGTAATGTTTGCATGCGTACATTTTCAGTCTCTCTTCTGGAATCTAAATGTGATGTGTTTACTTAAAGGCCTCACACTGGATCTGCTGCTTTATAACCGCCTTCTTTATTCAGTAATACATTGTAAACATTTCTCTGTGTCTTCAGATATTCTTCTGTATAATCTCTACTGGGTTGAACCGTGTCTCCCCCAAATTCATGTCCACCTGCAACCTCAGAATGTGACCCGATTTGGAAATGGGGTCTCTGCAGATGCAATTAGTTCAGATGAAGGCATACTGGATTAGAGTGGTCCCTAAATCCAATGAATGGTGTCCTTATAGGAAGGCCACGTGCAATCAGACGTAGAAGGCGGCCAAGTGATGAAGGAGGCAGAAATGACAGCGATGTACCCATAAACCAAGGCACATCAAAACATTCCTAGAGCTTCTAGAACCTTAGAAACCCCAAGGAAGGATTCTTAGAGGGAGCACGGCCCTGTTGACACCTTGATATCAGACCTCGAGCCTCCATAACTGTGAGGCTCAAGTTGGTGGCAATTTGTTATGGCAGCCTTAATAAATTAATAGGCCAGGTGCGGTGGCTCACACCTGTAATCCCAGCACTTCGGAGGCCGAGGTGGGTGGATCACGAGGTCAGGAGTTCAAGACCAGCCTGGCCAACATGGTGAAAATCCGTCTCTACTAAAAATATAAAAATTAGCCAGGTGTAGTGGCAGGTGCCTGTAATCCCAGCTGCCCAGGAGGCTGAGGCAGGAGAATGGCATGAACAGGGAGGCGGGGCTTGCAGTGAGCCAAGATTGTGCCACTGCACTCCAGCCTGAGCAGAGATGGCACCATTGCACTCCAGCCTGGCAAAAAAAAAAAAAAAAAAAAAAAAAAAAAAAAAAAAAAATTGTTCTTATGAAGTGAATTAAAAACACTGTGTAATTGTTGTTGCTGGTACATAGGAAACTACTGTTGTTTTGTGTTTATTATAAGTAGTCCCCTCATTGTATTTTTATTTGTTCTATGGTTTTTCAGTTGTTATGGTCTCTTCTTTTTCTTTTTTTTTGAGATGGAGTTTTGCTCTGTCACCCCGGCGAGTGCAGTCGTGCAATATTGGCTCACCGCAACCTCTGCCTCCCAGGTTCACGTGATTCTCCTGCCTCAGCCTCTGGAGTACCTGGGATTACAGGTGTGCGCCACCACGCCCGGCTAGTTTTTGTATTTGTAGTACAGACGGGGTTTCACCACGTTGGCCAGGCTGGTGTTGAACTCCTGACCTCAGGTGATTTGCCCGCCTTGGCCTCCCAAAGTGCTGGGATTACAGGCCTGAGTCACCTCGCCTGGCTGAGTATTCTCATACATATTACATACATTATGGAAAAAAAGAAAGGGCTCATGTCCAAGTTTGGGAAAAATGATTAAGCAGCTTTATTATTACTCCTGGACTTTTTAGAAACTTTGAACAGTTAATAGAATGTGACATTCTCAAAAGTAGAATGTAAACTTTCTCAAATTTGACTACCAAAACCCTCTCCCTTTCTCTCTCTCTGCCTCCCTTGATTCCTCTCTTCCTTCCCCTGACCCGCTCTTTTCTTTCTCTAAGTATTTCATAGAATTTCATTATTATTTTTTCTTTCTTTCTTTCTTTTTTTTTGAGATGGAGTGTCACTCTTGTTGCCCAGGCTGGAGTGCAATGGCGTAATCTTGGCCCACTGCAACCTCTACCTCCTGGGTTCAAGCAATTCTCCTGCCTCAGCCTCCCGAGTAGGTGGGATTACAGGTGCGTGCCACTATGCCTGGCTAATTTTTTGTATTTTTAGTAGAAACGGGGTTTCACCATGTTAACCAGGCTGGTCTTGAACTCCCGACCTCAGGTGATCCACCTGGCTCTGTCTCCCAAAGTGCTGGGATTACAGGCGTGAGCCGACGCGCCCGGCCAGGGTTCCTTTTCTTTAGAGGTCTTTTTGGGAAGTTCAGCTCTAGTGTTCCATTATTTCGTGCACTGGTCACTACTGATGTGGGATATGCATTCTTAATAATTAAAGAAGTACTATGCATTATTCCTGATTAATTATTTTATGGGAAATATATAATTTTACCTTCTTTTGGGCATCTATCAAGATGTGGCTTTTTTGCTCTGACATACTGATGTGATAAATTACATTAATAAATGTCCTAAATATAAATCACCTTTTCATTCTTGGAATAAATTCTACCAGTTCATGTTTTAACACAAGGTTGGATGTTATGTGTTGATGTTTTATTTTGGATTTTTGCATTATCAATTTGTAAGACAGGCCATTGTTTCTTTTTGTATTTTTTTTTAATCATTTATTTTATCAGGGTTGCAATGAATTGGGAAGCATTTCCTTTTTTTCCTATGATCTCATAACATTTTAAAATTAAATCACCTTTATTGAGGTATAATTTAAATACCATAAAAGTCATCCACTTTAAGTGTCCAATTTGATAAGTTTTGAAAAAATGTACTCAGTGGTGTAACCACCCCAGAACTGTGGTACAGCATATTTCCATGTCTTCAACAGTTCCCTTGGGCCCCTCTGGAGTTATTTCCTCACTTTCTGTCAACCAACAGATCTATTTTCTAACACTATATTGCCTTTTCAAGAATTTCACACAAATGGAATCATAGAGCGAGTAGATATATATTTTGTGTATTTTGTATTTGACCTCTTTCACTTTGCATAATGCTTTTGAGATGCACCTTGTTGTTTATATGAGTTGGTTAATCCATTCGATGGATGGACGTATCAGTTATTTATTTATTTATTTATTTATTAATTATTATTTTGAGATGGTGTTTCACTCTTGTTGCCCAGGCTGGAGTGCAATGGCGTGATCTTGGCTCACCGCAACCTCTGCCTCCTGGGTTCAAGCGATTCTCCTGCCTCAGCCTCCCAAGTAGCTGGGACTACAGGCATGTACCACCATGCCCGGCAAATTTTTTATATTTTTAGTACAGGCAGGGTTTCTCCATGTTGTCCAGGCTGGTCTTGAACTCCTGAGCTCAGGCAATCCTCCCGCCTCTGCCTCCCAAAGTGCTGGGATTACCGACATGAGCCACTGCACCGGTCATCTCTTCTGTTACATGGATCAGTTCTCTTTTTAGTTATTCTGAAACTGCTTTTGCAAAATTATAACTAAGGAAATTATGACAGTGAAAGAAATCAGAAGTAACCGACTCTATTTTGCTTGTAATCCTTAAGCGGTCCTTGTTCATTCCTGGGCATAGGCTGAACTAACCTTGGGAAGGAATTCAGTTCATGGTTTGACTCTGAAACAAAATGACTCCCTTCTTGCCTGGAGT